AACAAAACAAACAAACAACAAAAAAAACCAGTTCTTCAAGGCACTTTAAGTTTAAATTCAATGTCCCCACTAGGTTCAAAGTTAGAAATGTCGACAGCAAAAAGGAGGAACACAAGAGGCCGATTTAAATTACAAAAGAGTCCAGCCCGGCTTCCAAAGATAAAAAAATGGAACAGAAAAATAAACTTCCAAACGGCAACATTTATCCCCGCCGCTTTTCTCACTAGTCAGCCTTATTTTAAACTAAGTTTCCAAATTTAGAGTGTTCTCTTTCCAAGAAGAAAAAAAGATTTAAAACTCACACCAAACGACATGCTTATATCCACTCTCTCTCTGGGCTTTTGCAGTTATAGTCAGCATCGGCTGATCTGGAAATCACTGGATTAGGAGGGCTTTCCTTAGGTTCCCAGAGATTTTGCGAACATCTCTGGGACCACTGGAGTTCCCTCTACCTTTCACTGTCTCTCCGGGACAGCTTAGATCCAAAAAGAATCGTCCTAATGACCCAGTTTAGATGGTCTCTCAAGAGCTGCCTGAAAGTCCGTCTTCTCACTGCTAAGCCCCACCTTCTTCCCTAAGCCCTGCCTTCTTCCCTAAGCCCCACCTTCTTCCATGAATAAACAAATGTTAAATAGCAATTATAAGAATGTATATTTGTGAATGAATTTGAAATGGAAAAATAAAAAGCTTTTAAAAAGTGTCCTAAATGTTACAACGTCACAAATCCATAGAAAGTTTGAAAAAATAAAAAATCATACGTACAAAAAATGACAAAAAAAGCAAATTTTCTAAAAACTATGCACCAAGAAAGAGGATGCTAACTTCTGAACATTAAACAAATATAAATCTATCACTAGATGAAAACCAATCTTCTTTCTCTAAGATGGGAAAATGAAAGGGGAAAATTGTACGGTTTTTACTTGGGGTGGCCTATGAATACTGAGGAGGAATAAAACAAAGCTGATGAAACTAACATGCTTTCAAATGTATTAGATTCACAACATGCAGCACAGGAATACCTCATTTTTTTCTCTCCTGTTCATTTGTAGGAATTAATCTGCAGTTCTTTGTAGAAATCAATATGCATTCCTATAGAAAAAAATTCAACAAAAGTGACCCAAAATCCAACAAAAGTGACCCAAACCCACTGTACATTATTTTAGTTGATGCATAATTCCTTGCATCACCACTTAAAAAAAATGATTTGTAGGATAATCAACATATTTCAGACTTTAGCAACTGTAGTATTAGCAAAAGAACATAAATTTTTCCCTTGATATTTTCATGTAGTTCATACTCCTTGAATATAATTGATATGTCATTTAGAACAATCAGGTTCATGAGGCTAATACCAACTTGACATCGAAAACAGAGGTGGTGCAACAAAAAGTTGAAAATGCTGAAAAAGAAATTATTATGATACAGTATAGACAAATGGAACTGGCATTAAGAGTAAGGGGGCTGCGTGAGGAGAAACAGGAGAACCTGAAACAGATCCTATCAGAAGCCTTTGACCGCCTGGTGGGAAGACCAGGGACTAAGCTCGACTGGCAGATTGACAAAGTTTATCGCGTTAACTCCTGGGTGGCAAAGCAGAAACAGATTCCTCGAGACATCGTTATATACTTCACTACAAGAGAGCTCAGAAACATGGTACTACAAGAGTCTTATAACACTAAGCTCCAAATTGGCGGTCAAGACCTGATTGTTTTGAAAGAGATACCACCCAAGAGTTAACGCGATAAACTTTGTCGATCTGCCAGTCGAGGTTAGTCCCTGGTCTTCCCACCAGGCGGTCAAAGGCTTCTGATAGGATCTGTTTCAGGTTCTCCTGTTTCTCCTCACGCAGCCCCCTTACTCTTAATGCCAGTTCCATTTGTCTATACTGTATCATAATAATTTCTTTTTCAGCATTTTCAACTTTTTGTTGCACCACCTCTGTTTTCAATGTCAAGTTGGTATTAGCCTCATTAAGATCCTCTAGACTATCTTCAATTCCGGAAACATGTTCTGTCAATACAGTTACAAGTCCCAGCATTTCATCTTTAATTTTAACAACCCTGGCATCAATTTTATCATACAACTCTTCTTTAAGTTCTTTTATCTCCTGTTTTATCTCCTGTTTTATCTCCTGTTTTATCTCCTGTTTTATCTCCTGTTTTATCTCCTGTTTTATCTCCTGTTTTATCTCCTGTT